ACCTTTGAGAGGCAATGCACTCCGCGCTCGTTAGTGCATTTTACCTTGAGGTGTTGCTCATAGACAGCAGTAAATTTTTCATCAACGGACAGTCATGTTCAAATTGCTTGCTCGGAAATGTCCAGCAAGGTCTTTGCCTGCAAAAACGCAGCCTTTTCATCAAAATTCGAAAGCGAAGAGATCAATACTGCCTCTATCATATGCAACACTGTGTAGAGTTTCCTGGCCAATGCTTTCTGGAGGATGCTACGCCGTATACATTTGAGTTTGCTAAGAGGGTCCGAGAAACAACGACCTGTCGAATACTAACTAAAACCTATTATCAATGCTGGAAAATGTGAGCATTTTTCAATTCGCGGAATATTAAACGTCTGAGAAACGTACTTCACAACAAATCAAGGAAGATCTCGGAAAGAAATCCCGCTTGTTGAGTACAAATAGAATTTTGGGTGGGAGTAGGAGCGTAATTGAAACATTATAAGCGGATTTTTGTCATTCCAAAAATCAAAAAATTATTTGTCTGTTGGCTGAGTTTTAATTGAACCAATTACAGTTATCAAAATTAAGTATGTAGAAGTAAATTGCGGCCATGAAAAAAAGAGTGATTAGTTAGGTAATATTTCATGTTGATCCAAAGCCAGATTTTCTGATAGTTGAAGCGAGATTATTTTGCATCGCACATTTAATATTCTTCTGTACTAGTAAAAAATGAAAAGAAGTCATATGTAGCAGCTATTGCAGCGTTATCACGTTGCAGCAACTTTCCTCGCAGCAGTCAAGGCAAAACTGTTTTGCATAATTGCTGTGTTCTGACCACCGGCCGAAAAAAAAGAATGAAATCTTTCGACCACAGAAAATTGCTGGCAAATATCATGCTTAGTCTTCAGAAAAAATTTAAATTAACTCCGCCAAATGATATATAAATTTCATTTTCGCTTCCATGAAACAAAAAATTAATATTTTCTAGTAATATATTGATTCAATTAAGGGTGCGAAAAAAAATAAAGTTAATCATGCGTCTGTTTAAAAACCCAGCAGGAAATTCCGTTGTTCTCTAAAGCGCCTCATTTGCCCAGTAGTTGATCCATGGCCTAATTTGTGCATAAAATTGCAGCAATTTACTTCATTTTGAAATCGGTAATGGAGCTGGTATTAGGAGTTCACATCCGCAGCTTAAACGATCATTTCACGAGCGCCCAAATGAAACTCATAGGAAAAGGATCTGCGGACGTTCCGCCAAACGATGGTTGGCCGCCGTCCATGGTGTTGTGAATATCATTTGAAGGCTCACGCTCGCTGGTCACACAAAAGCCGTTACTACCGCATCGGTCATTGTTCCATGTATGTGCTCGCGCATATTAAAAACATCGTAGAATGCGAGGGGCAATATCTTCCTAATACCGTCTTTAATTCTACATAAGGAAATGATTTTGGACTCTCTATGATTATATCCCGTGCCATGAGTATGCGAATTATTCAATTCTTTACACTAAGAAATCGAACACTACTCGTACATATTCTTACAAAGAGTTGCTATGAAAATTGAGAGAAGATTGATGACATAAATTTAACTAACAAGTTTAGACATAAATAATTATCAGTATCCTAACAAGCATGAATGCGATCTTATTTTCATTTATCCATTTTGTGCTATATTTTCTAATACCATTAATTGCCATATTATTAGAAAATCATTTCTATTTTTAACCTGCTTCCGAGCATTCATGCCGGCTGATTTCCCAATCCGAATTACTGTTATACGTGATAGCCAATAATATATTGGCTAAATGTATACAGATTAAATATATAACTAAAGATGTCTTATCCAAGCTGCCGAAATTTAGTAGTGTTATGTTTAATGTGTATTAGTTGAATTCATGTCGTGTTTTTGTCTACGTACAGTATATTGTCAGGTGACAATGTGAATACCATTCGTCCCTGGATATTTCCTCATAAATATCTTTCTTGTTGAAAGAGAATCTCCTTCACTGCGATATGTTAATAAACATTTCCTTGTATTAGCCTTTCTTGTTTTACCCGGATGAGACTCATCATCTTGATGACATCTTTAAAAGCTTGTTAAAACCCTGAAGACGGCAGTACGAACCCCAGACGAACGCGTTAATGTTCTACTCCTTTGGCACTCTAAACCTATAAACTTTAAGCCGATATATTCTCAATAAGTATGAGTATCTAATCTGAACTTAACTCGTGCCTCATTTATCCTCATTTGTTAACGGTACCCGAAACTACCTCAGGTAGTTAATAATTAATCAGATACGCCTAGAAGTGCTTAGAGCAGCACGGTGTACAATATTTCCAGTGAGTCTTATTCGTAATATTCTCGACATGAGCATTATGGATGAACATGCACGCGAATTCGGGACATATATAAATTTAGTCACTGCGATTAACTTGAATCAAATAAATTTCGGACTGGCAGTTCGATGAACTAATAAATGATGGCTAATTATACAGTCACAAATCACTCATTACGAATTATAAAGGAAATAATTGCGCAGAGTAATCAGCAATCAATAATAAATGTCATGTATTTTAAAATCAAATATTCAAAGTCAGTAAAATATTCGGTAAAATTTCCAAACCCGAACTAAATATCAAAAAATTTTTTTGCTTGTGATGTTACTCTGGTTTAGCGTATAGATTCAGGACCGAAATAATGGCGGTATTCGGCCTACAGAAATGTTGAATTACATTAGTGCAGGTAAGCTGCCTCTAATTAAGTCAAAGTTTTGAGAAAACATGTCCCAGAATGACGAAAAAATATTTCCAGGTCATTTTCCTAAATTTTATATGAAAGATTTGTGTTCGGATTTTTTTATTCTATTATAGTTGCAAGTTCGTCCTATTAATATTTGTAATTTAAGATCATTACCAAATTACGATTATGTGTAACTTTTGTAGTAGATTTTGGTCGTGAAGTTGAAAGCTATTGTGTGAAGTATCTGAAGTAAAACAATAGATTGACCGATGCACCTAACGCAGCAGCAAATATTCAAAGAAATTATTAAATAAATAAACGATCAAAAGAATCGACAGCTCTCTTAGATCGTCATAATGCATATCTAAGGGAGTAATCAAAAGTGGTGTAAATATGGGACATCAAAGGTACCAACAGCTTTCTTATTTGGCATACTTAAGAAGAGTGAAATCGCAGAGGGTGAAAAAATAAAATGTATCTACAAATTTTTTATATCAACACTAGTCTTTACATATATTAAAAAATAATCTCTACGGGCGAAAAATCGGGCGATCGAAAGCAACAACACCCCGCTTCAATGAGAAAGAGAGTAAAAATGGATAACAAAAATAATAGTTACTTAGAAAGAGAGTAATAACAGATAATAATAACAATAGACACTAAGAAAGAGAGTAACATAACATAACATAGTGATGTCGGCGCTGAAGCGTAGGCCTGATGTGGCCTGTCGCCGATTCTTGATCTTTTCGTGCCTTGTTCATTGCCCCGCATTCATATTCTATAATCTGTAACAGAAGCGAGTATCTCTAACAGCGGAACTGATGGATAATCACGATTCAAGATTATAATACAACGAATAAACTTTATTCAATAATTAATTCAGCTTAGAGGAAGCCTTACTTAAGTTATTAATGGCACACCTTATTGAGGAATGACGGAAAAGTGGGAGTGCGACGAACGATAGTTTTTGTTTTATATTAAGTTATGCACTTACTTGCTTAATTGGAGCGTAATTGAGGAATATTGTTTACTTTATGATTGTATTGTTAGATAATTATTTGGCATTAGTGTTGTTACCAGACGTTCCAAACGTCAAAGATGGCCGCCACAAACTGGGCGGAACGTCAGTCACTAACGTTAAATCTTGTAGTTCTCTTAGAACTATTGGCGTAACAAAAGTTTTCAAGTCAACACTGAGATTTAAAACACTTTTATTGGAGACAGACTAGGGCACTTTAAAATCAGGAACTTGACAGTAATAGCCTAAAACAAAGTGACAAAACAGGTGGCTCGTGCATTCAGTCCAGTAAGGGAGAGGGCACAATGCGGAAACACGCGCAGAAACCGTATCAGCACAACGTCTAGACAGTAGCTGCCACAATATTGGCCCAAGCAAATAACTTTTGCTGATCGGTTCGCAGGACACGACTGCCTTAGCGACAAACTCAACCGCCCTCGTCACTTCTCTCTATAGCAGAGAAGGCCGGGAGTCAATGTGAGGCAACCGGCCTCACTGAAAATTTATTAACACTAATATATGTACAATTTGCCACTCTGATAAAGAAATTGAAAACAACAATAATAAAAATCTTTAAAAAATATCGTGAACGATTTCTCAATCGTTCACAGTGTAACTAAAATGACTCAAGGGACTAGTCTGATAGCCGAATATTCTGAGAATCTAGAGAATTGAAATGAGAACGGCTAGTGCTTCGAGAGAGCGTTTCACCCTGAATTTCATCACCTTGGAATGCTTATTTCGATGACACTTTGATCAGGGCCATAGCAAAAGTCGGTACCACCTAGGCTTCTATCCATGAGTCGCTACACTCGGTTTAAAGTTAGTCTAGGTCTGCTTTGCCACCCGATCGCATTCTGTGGCTAGTCAGAATCTCTTTGCCGACTTTACAAAGTAAGACAAGATATATAGATATAGATTTATGAGAGTAAGATGAGAGTTGGCGTTGGCAATATCAACATCTGCAAGCTCATTTGATGACTAGTTGGACACGGTGAGTGGGGTGGTCACTCTCCTGAGGACTTGGTGGACCCTGTAAGCAGGCGGTCACTCACCTGAGGACTTGGCGGACCCTGTAAACAGGGTGGTCACTCACCTGTGGACTTGGTGGACACTGTAAGCAGGGTGGTCACTCACCTGAGGACTTGGTGGACACGGTAAGCAGGGTGATCACTCACCTGTGGACTTGGTAGACACGGTAAGCAGGGTGGTCACTCACCTGTGGACTTGGTGGACACTGTAACCAGTGTGTTCACTCACCTGAGGACTTGGTGGACACGGTAAGCAGGGTGGTCACCCCTAGAGTTGTACGGCCAGGTACAGAGTCCACGTCCATCCAGAAGCTGACCCAGGATATCACGACAATAAGGATGGTAGGCAGGTAAACCTGCACCAGGTAGAAGCCGATGGATCTCTGCAGGCTGAACTCTGCTACCAAGCAACTATAGTTACCTGCGGGGTCATTAATTTGTGTTAAATATGTCATTATACGTTAAAGGGGACGAAACTGGACTAGTTGAAATTTGATATCATCTCTCTGTGGTCTTTTGAATTTATTGATGTGTAAGCCTAAATATTTTAGTTCCGCAACGACAAGGGAAAATTGCCCTACATGTAAAGGTTTAACGATTATCGAGTGGAACAGCAGATAATAATAATTGAAACAAGATATTGATAATAAATAAACTTAAATAAATTTTTAATTAATAAATTTCGAGGCAAACGAGCTGAAATAATCAATCAAATAACCTTTTTGATGCATATGCTTCATATTGAACTCCTTGACGAACCAGTGAGTTACGGTGAATATTTTCCCCCTATAACTAACCTCTTCGAAATCCTTGTGGAGGAGAGCCATCCGTAAATATCATATCACTGAAATATGCTTTTTCCACATCCTTGACGTCTTACTGAAAAACGCTCTGGTGGAACCTCTCATTGGCGAACTTTCGCTTATCATTGCTGCTTTCATTTATAAGTTTTAATGAAATTTAAATCAATTAGAAATGTACATGTCCTAAAATTTCCAGATTGCCTATACGCGAATCAAATTATAGCGTATTAGCAAACAAAGTGGTGTGTTTCCTTGCAATTTCATTTATTTTCATATTCCACACGTAGTTTTGTTTACCGATGTAAAATGACTCGTTGCAGATGGAAGGTCGTATTGCGTTGATCTCGTACTGCGGCATGCGGAGGTCGCGGTACATTTTGATGGGGTCCTCACTTTTCCAGCGCAGCTCCAGCTCCTTCATCGTCTTTGAAACTGTGGATATTAGACCAAAAAGATTCATCATGCACAAATCGTACCTTGAAACTGTGATATTAGACCAAAAAAGATTCATCATGTACACATCGTACCTTGAAATTACAAAATTCTAACGCAAATGAATTCTTATCGATAGAGTGGTAGTTCAAAGAAATACAAAAAGACTCCATTGGCCGATGTAGGGCTTACAAACATTTACGTTGCCTTCCTCGCAACGGTAGAAACATAAATCTAAAATTTACCACAGTGCATTTTCATTCCTCGAAAATTTTCAATATGTTTTCATCTGTTCGACATAACATAATTTGTTTGACCGTTCAGCTGCCAGAAAATTAATGCTTCAGAAATATTTCAAATCAAGTAAGATTACTTTTGGAAGTTTACATTACATGAGAAAAAGGTTAAAATATTCTGCTGGAATAACTGAAAATATGAGATACTAAAATCTCATGTTGGACACAAATCGGGTATTCTCTAATAATATAAAACTATCAGAAAAAAGGGTTTGCTATTATGAGTTAAGTTCTCTACCGGAGCCCTATTTACGATGTGGAGATATGTATTCATACTATATCACTATTATATATACATCACTTTGGAACATCACACATGTTAATCGTACGGGCGGACAATCATATTAATATTCATGAAATAAATTTAACCGAAATAATAATTAAAAAACACTCACAGCTGGCCACTTCCATGGTGCAAATTTGGGCGTCCAGAGGGAATTTTGAAAGCTCCAGCATACAAGAGAAGAGCAGCTTCAACCTTAGAGAAGGTTAGAATGGTTAGAAGATTGGATAGTTAGTGATAATCTGGAGATCCAGGTAATACTAGAAGAGCCTTTTCAACCTACAACAGGAAATGAAATTAAAAGAAAATGGTGCTTAAAGCTCAACAACATTTGAAAGTAATCAAATGAATCTATATATTGTGATCTCAATATCTGCGCATAAATATGATCATTGAATATATCACAGGAAGATATGAACCGAAATAATCTTTATTCAGATCTAACAATTCATTCATCAAACTCGTCATATCCTGCAACACAAGAAACTCTGTTCTTTGAATTTCTTTGAGCCGAAAACAGAAGCGAAAACACAAAGCACGATCGAGATCAGACCCCACAGCTCGGGTTGACATGAAAGATTCACAGCAGGCGACGGTGCAATTCAAAAAGCTAGACTTTTTTATCGAAAACATTTTTAAAATACTTTATATTTTCAGCATTTCTAAAAAACATTTCTAAAATACAAGTGTTTCTACTTGTTTGAGACTTTAGGTGACAACGGGAACAGTAAGGTATTGCATTTACTATCACTAAACTCAGATAAACAAATATTAAAACGGTTGTTTTAACTTTTTCAGTACTCTGTTAACTATTCGTAACGTTTTTTCGTTGAAATTGGGTTAAAAATGAAAATATATACTTGATGTTCCCGAATGATAATTATTGGGAAATTTTTATGCTCTATTGATGCGTACTCAAGAGTATATATGAAATCTGAACCAAGTATATATTTTCATTAAAAATTACTAGACCTGATTAAAGATGTGATAAGCATTGTTTGCTGTCCATAACGGAAGCTTTATGCCAAGCAATTAGTCATGTACCCGTAATTTTTTGTCATATGTTCCCAATGCAAGAGAGCCCAATGTTCCCTATGCAAGAGAACTTGTGCTCCAGAATTGTAACAAATTTATAAACACACGAAACTGTGCAGAACGCAGGAGCCTATCAGGCAACTACAAGTATATAAATCCCTCAAATCCTGGGCATCATGAATGCTTGTAAGCATCTCTTGGACTGCCTCATTATTTCAGTTTGAATGTTCTGAAATTCAGACTCTGATTCAAATGGAGTTGCTTCTGAAGTTGTTTATTCAACCAGAGTTATGAGCCACAACGATCCGTTGCTGCTCTGGAGGGGAGTGAGACTTTTGAGTGGGAGCAAAATAAATCCGATGTTCCGTGGTGGTTGAGTTTTAATTTCTCTAGTCGGCGGGAATTTAAACTAGAGGATACGCTATTAATTAAAATTTTGCCACTGCTTTTCGACGATTGATCTCATTGTCCAGCAATGTAACTTTGATTTTTCTCCAATTGATCCCAGCATGTTGGATGCCGAAGGTTTTTTTTTTACAGAAGTCGAAAATTTTGGAGTTTATATTTCCCTCTTGAATTTCGATAAGTTCTGCCAATTTTATTTTGGTTGACTTGCCTTAACAATTCAAAGTCAATGAAATCATGATAAATGATTCAGAAACTGTTAGTGTCTACTGTCGACATGAGACGTTCGTAAAATTTAGTCCAATTCGTAAAGAATGCACCAGATTGTGGGAAAGATACACTGTAAATTATTTGGCATAATCGCCCACTTTTTAGAAGCTAATTCTAAAGTTTTTATCAGCCCAGACCGGCTAAAAATTAAACCCCAAACATGCCTCCAACTAAACAGATTGCAGTGGATGATTGATTTTTGAATAGATGGCATTTTCAAATACCTGGATTCAACCTGTCCCTAAAATGTATAGAATTCATTTATAGTCACAACGCAATAAGGGTAGACTACGGTGATGAAAGGCTAGTAAAAAGTTACCTGAGCATGTACAGAATCTCGCCGTGAGGGTTGATCCTAACGAGCACGTTAGGCACGGTCACGAACTGAAACTCTGCGTGCTTGGCGTTGGGGAAATACACTTCAGGCTTCCAGATCGCCTTCACCAAGTTTGGGTCGTTCAAATCCAGCGGCTGGTCAATGTCGGCGTGGTTGAGGCGTTGGTCAACCCACGTTTGTCGTAGGTATAAGTCTACGTGATAGTCCTGTAAAGTAATGATATACATGTTTTATACTGCGTAACTACAGATGGCCGGCTGTGAATTGGAAACGTGCCTATCATTCACGCAAATGCATGTAAACATCAATGACAGTCTTGTGTAGGTGTAGGTGTAAATAAATTTTGATGAAAGTGAAACATATTTTTTAATAAACTTGACTTGCCTAATAAAATTTCAAGCGTGGAATATTCACCAAAATCCTGTGCATTTATTTGCAGGCCAGCGTCGCAATGAACGAAATTTCATTAACTGAAAATGAAACTGCATGTCGGATTCTAATATAATGCGGATCACGAGTAGACTTCTGCCCAAGAGTCGCTGCTCTCAGCTCAGAGTTCTCTTGGGTCTGCTTGGCAACTCTATCAAAATCAGCTGCTGGTCATCTTCTAATTTCAAAGTTTATAGTGTCCTGAGAGCATGACAAGGGATACCTGAAGCCAAGTCATGCCGAGATTGCACGTTGCACAAAGGCTGCACTTCAAGCCCGGGCGAAGCGAACTTAGATTTACGTAACCCCGAGTCCTAGCTGTGCAATACCTATCGCAGAGTCATGTCCACTTCTTAATTTTGTTGTGTAAAATGTTCCTTATATTGTCCCCATAAATCACCTATAGGCCTTTGAGAGGCAATGCAATCTGCACTCGTTGGTGCATTTTACCTTGAGTGTATCGCTCATACACAGTAAATTTTTCATCAACGGACAGTCATGCTCAAATTGCTTGCCCGGAAATGTCCAGCAAGATTTTTGCCTGCAAAAACGCAGCCTTTTCATCAAAATTCGAAAGCGAAGAAATCACTACTGCCTCTGCCATATGCAACACTATGTAGAGTTTCCTGGCCAATGCTTTCTGGAGGATGCTACGCCGTATACATTTGAATTTGCTAAGAGGGTCTGAGAAACAACGACCTGCCGAATACTAACTAAAGCCTATTATCAATGCTGGAAAATATGAGCATTGTGCAACTCACGGAATAATAAACGTCTGAGAAACTTATTTCACAACAAATCAAGGGAGATCTCGGAAAAAAATCCCGCTTGTAGAGTACAAATAGAATTCTGGGTGGGAGTGGGAGTATAATTAAAACATACAAAGGGGATTTTAGTCATTCCAAAAATCAAAAAATCATTTGTCTGCTGGCTGAGTTCTAATTGAACAAATTACAGTTATCAAAATTAAATAGGTAAGAAGTAAATTGCGGTCATAAAAAATAGTGATTTGTTAGGTAATTTTCATGTTGATCCAAAGCAAAATTTTCTGATAGTTGAAACGAGATTATTTTGCATCGCACATTCAATATTCTTCTGTACTAGTGAAAAAGTGGCAAGGAAGTCATATGTAGCAGCTATTGCAGCGTTATCACGTTACAGCAACTTTTCTGGCAGCTGTCAAGGCAAAACTGCTTTGCATAATTGCTGTGTTCCGACCACCGGCCGAAAAAAAGAATGAAATCTTTAAACCACTGAAAATTGCTGGCAAATATCATGCCTAGTTTCCAGAAAAATTTAAATGACCTCTGCCAAATGATATTTAAATTTAATTTTCGCTTCCATGAAAGAAAAAATTAATATTTTCTAGTAATAATAATTAATATTATTATTAATATTAATAGTATATTAATATCAAAATTAATTAATTGAATATTAATAGTAATTAATATTCAATTAAGGGTGCGGAAAAAAATAAAGTTAATCATGCGTCTGTCTAAAAACCCAGCAGAAAATTCCGTTGTTCTCTAAAGCGCCTCATTTGCCCAACAGTTGATCCATGGCCTAATTTGTGCATAGAATTGTAGCAATTTACCGCGTTTTTAAATCGGCAATGGAGCTGGTATTAGGAGTTCACTTCCACAGCTTAAACGATCATTTTACGAGCGCCCAAATGAAACTCATAGGAAGAGGATCTGCGGGCGTTCCGCCAAACGATGGTTGGCCGCCTATGATCCGTCCATGATNGAAGTAAAACAATAGATTGACCGATGCACCTAACGCAGCAGCAAATATTCAAAGAAATTATTAAATAAATAAACGATCAAAAGAATCGACAGCTCTCTTAGATCGTCATAATGCATATCTAAGGAAGTAATCAAAAGTGGTGTAAATATGGGACATCAAAGGTACCAACAGCTTTCTTATTTGGCATACTTAAGAAGAGTGAAATCGCAGCGGGTGAAAAAATCAAATGTATCTACAACTTTTTTATATCAACACTAGTCTTTACATACATTAATAAAATAATCTCTACGGGCGAAAAATCGGGCGATTGAAAGCATCAACACCCTGCTTCAATCAGAAAGAGAGTAAAAATGGATAACAAAATAATAGTTACTTAGAAGAGAGTAATAACAGATAATAATAACAAATAGACACTAAGAAAGAGAGTAATAATATATAATAAAAATAATAGTCACTAAGAAAGAGAGTAATCTCACCATCGAGGAAGGGTTAATAGAGCCGAAGCTGCGAATGTAGAGCTCGCAGTCAACCACCGTTGCGTTGTCTAGGAAGAAAGAGTTGATAAAACAACTGAAAATCCTCATTCTTCCTTCATTTAAAATTATCCCATGTAAAATTTATGAAAACACAGTTTCTGAGAAATATCTCAAAAATATTATTCATCAGTGATAATTTTTATTCACTGTAGAAGACTTAGTTACATCGAAATAAAAAAATTCTAAAGAAATACGTTCATTGATTCTTAGTGCTCACGACCGATGCATTTATCGAGTAATATCACAAGCTATGAATAGGAATTCTCATCCGATTTTTTAATAATATGGGTGTAGGTAAAGTAATTTTCTGAATTTTTCGAGTTGATCAGAAGTCAAAGATATTCAAATTACGTATCTCAGAAAAATAAGAAACAAAATTAGGCATTCTATATAAAATGAAATGCGTGAGCCTTTTCACATCATTCAGAGCAGCGGCTCGGATAAACAATATCCAGATTCCCTATAAAGGAGGAATTGCAGTTACAAAACACAAAAACTGAAAATAGTCGATGCAAATAATCGAAAAGAAATTTCAATTACTCATGTTATTCAATAATTTACCCTAACAAAGGCAAACGTTAGTACGGGTAATTGAACAGAGGTGATTTATTTTGAACGCCTATAGTTCGATATTTTCGTGCTTGCGGAGCTCCTTTTATGAGCGTTAATTTGCTTCGTTACATCATCGTTTGGCTGACGAAACCGAAAACATCATTTGAGGCCTCTGAAGTTTTGAAGCGAAAAAAAGTCTGATTATCATTTATATTCATATTCAAATCGAAATTAAACGATTTTTCAATTGTGGATACCTTATTAATCCATCGATTGCGCGAAATTGTGACGACCTTCATAAAAATTGGAGAATTCATAGTTTAATTCTCGTTGATCAAATATAATTATTCGAATTTGGAGTTGGCAATAAATCTGGTTTTCACACGAATGAAAAATTAGGGTTTAATATTTGCTTTGGCTAGTCAGATACCCTCAAAATTTCTTCTCTTTCTATTAAAAGCAGCAATATCTTAAAACACACACTGCCCCGATACCATAATTTCGTTAAAATATTTCAAAATTAACGGAATTTATGATAAAAATAATTTAGGCGCCATTTTTCCGAAAACTTTTATCCATTACGATTCGGACATATAAACATGTATAAATAATGCAATCATGTTAGAAACAAATCGCAAAATAAAAATTAAATAAAAACTAATATTAAAAACTCACTCCATTGGTTAGACGGAGTTGCCCGACGGTCATACTGAGTCAAAAGCGTGTCCAATATTTGAAGGTCCGTCATCTTGTTTGCCTTCCTGAAAAATTGCAATAATAAGTAAATAATGGAAAGTTAAGTCAAGAAGAGATTCCATAACTTTAAAAAACCACTAACACCAAACTTTTACAAGCAGGCTCTACCAGTAGATAGTCAAATTTTCTATCGAGCAAAGGGGAAGAGAACTAATTAAAACAATTATTATCATGCGAGATAGTTGTCATAAACTAATTCATTTAACATCTACGGTAGTCCAAATTATTGGATATAGTACAAAATTACAAGTTTTATTTAAATTATTTCCCGCGACAAATTTTTTCTGACTCTTTAATAACCTTTGAATTGCAAATCAAGAAAATAATATAAAAAATAATTTCCGTAATGAACGAACCAAATCATTTTTGATTATGTCTACAGAAAATTTATACCGCGAAAATTTTTTGAACACAGATTTTATAGTCCGTAAATATGCATTTGCACCATGGCATATTTTAAGAGTTCACAGATTTTATGTAAAAGATAGCCGACTACAAACAAGAAATTTGCTCTTAGTTCCTGAATTTTGTGAGCAGGTAGCGGGTATCTTGAGACGTGTTTAACAATTGAACAGTTCCTTTGTAAATAACAGTCACGTGTCCAGTTGTCAACGGCTTCACTCTAGCGAAAGTGATTGCCAACCTCAGAGCAAGTTTGGAAAATATTGCCGCTATAAGATGAAGGAAATTCGACCAAGTAATAGAATTAAGAGCTGAGGTGGAGCCTCATCCATTCTGACGTTATGACCTCTTTTGCGATGACATTTTATAACTTAAATTGAAGTTATCTCATCGAAATTAAAAATAAGAAATAAATTGTCAGAAAATTTTATGAATCTGATGGCGGAAATATTGCAAATGGAATGTTGAAGAGTTAAAAATAAGGCCAGGCCGTTTATAGGATGAAAATATACAATCGGACCACGTGTAAAATTCGAGATAGATTTTGATAAATTATGCGGATTAAATGGGATGCAATTAAATTTTAGCTCTAGCTATGTCTTTCATTTCGGAATATTTTCTATGAAGGCTAGAGGAAAAAACTCGTTAGCCGCCCATAATTGCCTAATTTATCTAAACGCACTAAGGGTTTATATGATCGTTTATGATAAAAAAACATGGAGGGTATTTTCTGCTATGTAGATTTTATTAAATATTTCCAGTGGCGCATATAATGGACATGTTTTGAAAATTATGTCAGAATGTGCATCGACCTAACGCTTAAATGAGTGCAAAATTCACTAGCAATAAAAACACGAGCCAGAAGTCCTACAATTTCAAGTCAGGAATCTTGTTTTTTTTTTCCAGAAAAATTTATGTATTTTACTCGTTTTTAGACTTCCCAATCTTCATTCACGTCTGCCTTGCGGATCAAGTTTCATGTTTATTGAAAGAAGATCCGCGTAAAACATGATTTCAGAACTCAGACATGGAAGTCCGACCAGCGCTCGCACGGGCCAATTTTCTGCTTTATTAGCGATCAACAGGGCCGATGATCTCGCTTCCATAACAATGAAAAAATACTGCATATGAACAAATTATGCGCACAGTTATTAATTAATTATTTTTTCGCAGTTATAATTGATGTTTTAAAAATGCGATGAAAATTCACTGAAATACAAGACAGCCATAAACAATTTTAGAAGTGGAAGAAATGTGAAGCCAGCATTTCTCTTCTGTGTGGCTTCATTCTCGAACTCGTTCTTATTCAAAAATTAAAAATCTTACGATTTTTGCTGTGTCACATTTATTTGATCTTCATCTTGAGTCATGAAGAAAATTTTACAAACGCTGAAGAAAATATAACATAACATCGGCGATGGGGCGCAAAAGTTTTTTACCCAAAATTACGAAATAGGCTGAATTCCCGAAATAGGTGGAAATGAGAAATTTATTGCCAGTTAATTCATCAGAGCGTGGATTGGGTTCTCTGTATATGTATTCTCTGCAGGAATTTTCGAACAATTCTCGCAATCAGCGCCATGACGAGGAACATAATTTAAGTGAATAAAAATAGCGCGGCTGTTGACTTCGTCTCTCTGTGACTCGTGCTTTATAAATCGCGGTGATGCAGGTTCAGCTCATTGGGTACACAGATTATTCACACGTCTTATATTTACTAAAACAGAACTGTACAATTGCGTTGTGCCCTGCAGTCCACTCCAGCTAGAATCTAAAACATGAATGAATTGATCTTGGAAATAAACAAAAGTACGAATGTCTCTAAAGTAAAATGGAAAATTGCTATTAATAAAATGTGATTTAAATTGGTACTATTCCTTAACAGCATCGCAAACTGGAAGAGTACATCATTAAGTTGCGAAAGTTTTTCTTACAACATTCTATCAACAAATTTTGTTGGAAAATTTTTGGCTAAATTTTTCACTGAGCCGAACATTACCCGTCGCGCTGGAGTAATAGCGTAATAATTCAGGATCAGAACCAAAACAACGAGTAATAGGGCAATTTTCATGCCAGTTTCTTAGCTGACAATTCTCGTTGCTTTCCATTAATGTACGATCATTGGAAAGTCGTTAAGTCATCTTTGATACCGGACGAGCTATTCAAAAAAAAATTTGGAACGAGACTAACAATATCAATGAATTTAATTCGTACGTGTGCTGTTCGAAAAAACGTGAAAAACCGTGTGAACAGCGTTCTATATAGTGGCTGGACAAAGCGTGAAAATGAACTGTTTCGCAGTTTTTTGTAATGTGGTGCAGGTTTCATGTGTTAAATTGGAAAAAAATGACGATGTGGTGTTTTTTAAGTTTGCCACCTGGCCACTGAAATGAGGAACGGCCAACCACTAACGGCCTACGTTGATTCTTCGAACAGTGTAGCCACTGGAATAATTAGATGTAAAACTAATTCATGTACCGTCTAATAAACCACAACTAAATCATGAGTACTTCAGGTCAACTTCTGCCGAATACACATGAATAGATCGACATAATTTCGAGGTGCCAAGTCGGCCAATACGATTTCAAACAATTTCTAATCAAAGTGGAAAATAATCGGTGAAGACCCCATAAATTTTATCATATTGCCAATTTACATATCATTATTACGTCATTAATATGCCCACAAAATTCAAGTCAATGCTAAAAATTGGTGTTGAACATTACCGATACACCGGGTTGAAAATCCTTTGTCATGCAATTTGTTCCTGGCACAATTATGTTGAATCACATACGTTTTATTTAAAATTTAGAGTGCCATGTTGCGGGAAGACATGAACAGTGCCTGGTTGCATTGAAGACAGAGATTTAATGTCGAGTAAATTATTCTACGTGCATGTCGATCCAACAACATGAATACGAAAAATAATTTTTGAAACAGTGCGTAGAAACGGAAAATATGAAACGCTGAATTGAGCAAAATTATTGTCCCTGTATTCAGCAGATAATTGACCAATGCTTTGAATTTGTACCTAAAGGCTTAACAATCGACCGCATCTAGTTAGAGTGACCTCGTGTTAGGAAGTTTGAAATTAGTAGCAGTAAAATTTTTGACTTTATTGATGGTGATTGGAATTAAATTGTATTTAAGTCCTCGAGAGGATAACGTTTACCGTTTCATGCTTAATTTTTCTGCTAATTTGACCATTTTTGACAGTTTCATTGTTTGTTTCCTCAATGAATTGATAATTTATTCTTGTTGTGAATAGAAGGCATTCGTTTGTCTTTAATCAATTTTGCATTAATATGAACTATGTGCACAATTCAGTTTATAAAATAAATATATGCTTTTAAATACCATGGTCAGCGAAATCATATCAAATATATAGAACAACATGAAGAGTTTAATTAAATTAAGTTATTTTTTTCAAGGATGTGAAATAGAAAGCAGGATGGAGTCATATTTAGTAGTGAAATATTTTTTACCCTGGAAACTCACTTCATGCCTGACATTCCACGCAATCTTCTCCCGGAGCAAAAACCCACGAAAAATGTTCCAAATTTCATGAAGAGCGTAATATGCGCGTAGCTTTGCCCGAAGAAGAGCCTTTCTCTTATTGCGCGCACTCGAACAGCACCGAAGAAATTTCACATTTTGTTGATTGAGTAATAAATTGCTTCTCCGGCTCTTCGAAAAATGTTTTAGTGGTGAAATGGATCAATGCCGCCTGAATCTCGGTAGCGTCAGAATTTCCAACGCGCCCGATACTTCCGCTCTACAATGTCCATCTTCCAATGGCCAGTATCACTAAAGTCGCCTCTGACCTCAAAGGTCAATTCAATTTTTCTTGGACTCAGATTCAATGTCTTCCTCGGACCGCCATCAGATAGAAATAAATTCAAGGGACTCTGCGTCATAGGTCCCGGGAGGAAAATTTATTTCAATCGCCCAAATGGACTCTCAAGGACAAGGTATGAAGTCAATCAAGTTCTTATTCAGTGGTGAGTGCTAGATTCATCACGAGGCTTTCATGGCTAATCATACACTTGAAGGACTTAACAATGTTTGTTTACATCAACGCCGTAGGAACTGCGGAGTTTGCCCATTCGAAATTTTCAGGAGACAGAAAACAGTCCCTGGCCTCAAAGACCATGGTCGCACTCACACGAGAAAATACATCATTTGTTATGAGAAATAATCATCTTTATACGTTAACTATCCGACATTTTAATGGAAAAATAGCTGAGCTTACTCTAAATAATATAAATTTAATTTAATTTAATATTCTTGTAGAGGTTCTTAAGAAAAGTCGGGCTGCAAGTTGGGTGACATGTCTCGCCCTTTTTTGTAAACTGGTAAGCAGATAATGAGCCTGGCGGGATTTGATTGAAAAAATCATAATTAGTAAGAAATTCAAGTGATGTTGCATGAGAAGTTTGTGGAGCATTAACGTGAATATAGGTATCACAAACACGAAATAAATTAACTTGCGAATTCCAGACATGAACACTGACTTTATTCATATTCAAATGTCTGAACCGGTGCAAAAATTTGTAGCGTTCGACACAATATTAAAGCGTTCACACAATTCAAATTTGCACAT